AGGAGATAAAGAGTAATGAGCATGATAATTTAGATAGGGTGGTCAAGGAAGCCTTCCCTCAGGAGATGGCATTGGAACAGAGATCTGAATGAAACAAGGGAAGAAACGAAGTGACTGTCTCAATCATTAGGTGAATGAGTGCTTGTTTTGGCTTGTTAGCTACCCCCTTTATGTTCTTAGTCACACTTCTTTATGTGGGTAGTGAACTATTTATATATCTATGACTTAGGATGCCAAACAGATTTAACAGTCCAGAAAGGAAGTGCCTGGGCTTCCCATGTCCTTTAAATATCCTTCAAATATTACACATTTCCCATTACTAACTTAGTACTTCTTGAATTGTCAGTTTTGTGAATGAACTTAGTATTAGAAGTCCTTCAAAGAGATACAGGCATTTTGGAAGACCCTATCAGAGGAAAGCAGCTCTGGTATGGAAGAATCTTGGAGTCAAGAGAACTGGGTTTGAATTCCAGCTCACCCATTGGCTGTGTGGACTTGCCTGTGTCCCCTACTTTACTGAGTCTGTTTCTTTATCTATAAGATGGGGGTGATAATTTTTAATTCACATATTTGTTATAAAGGTCAAATGAATTAACTGATGTGAAAAATACGTGGTATGTTATAAGAAATCAATAGTTGACTCTGAAAGCTTGGAATATCCTTAAAGATAATGGACGGGGGTTGGGTCTCTGCATAGAATTCTTAAGCATATTACACTATACAAAAAGTAGAAACAATAAATTTATGTTAATATAATATTACATCATGCTAATTATAGTTAACATTGAAGTGCTTACTATATTCTAAGAACTATTCTAAATAAGTTACATGGATTAACTCGTTTTTCACACTAACCATGCAAGATAAGTACTGTTATTGTGCCTATCTAACTCATGACAAAATGAAGCACAAAGAGACTAAATAATCTGCATGTGGCCACAGTAAAGGGGGGAATTGGGATTATGAACCAAGGAAATTTGACATTGGAGCTCATGCTCTCAAATACTAAACTATATAATTGTAATTTAAAGGATTATTTATCCTGTTTGAAGCCATCATTTTAGGTCTTTCCTAAAGTAACATCACTGTAGAAAGTGACAATAACAATTTAAAAAATAGAGTATAAAGTATAACCAAGTTTAAAAAGAGAGTGAAAAAGGTTTTAAAAAAGTTAGTGTTAACTAGAGGTTGGTTTAGATTATATCTAAAGTTAATACCCAAAATGAAAATATTAAGGATCATTTACTTTATTATGCGATTTCATATCTTGTCTCAAAACCTATTCATTTTAAGAAAAAACGATTGCTTAGTACTAATCCAAGTCTAAGAAAGGCAACTAATTTAAACAGAATGTCTAAAATTCCAAGGCCTGTTTTTTTTAAAATCCTAGACAGTGTTGCAGTAATATTTTTGAGGGATTGATCATAGCAGATGTGATCAGTTTGAACCACAGTTGAACAATGCCCAGCAAAACAATGACTTTGATTATCTAGAAAACCTAAATAAAATTCCAATGACAAAATACATGATAAAAATGATGTGCTGTTTTTATTATGATGTGTTCTATTAAATTATTTAAAGTCTCTTTACCATGAGTTAGATCTATAAAGACTAGTGATATACCAGCTTCAGGATTATATTATGTAGAGAAAAGATCATGACTATTTACAGATGCTAAATGATAACCAATCATTCCAGGCATTTATTTATTTATTTATTTTCCAGGATTTTAAATAAGAGTTACCATGATACTATGCTGGGCCATTAATTATGTATTAACTAAATAACTCCAACAAGTAGAATAGTGTTTCAATACCATATCCCATTTCAAATATCTTTTTTATTACTCTTTCCTTTAAGTACAAGCACAAATAGGGTAGTAATGTAACAAATGTACTTTTTTGTGCATTAATAGATTAATAAAGAATAAAATATTTCGCCCATGAGCCATGGCCGCTGAGCCTGTGCGACTGGAGCCTGTGCTCCACTGCGGCAGAGGCCACAGCAGTGAGAGGCCCGCGTACCGCAAAAAAAAAAAAAAAAAAAAGAATAAAATATTTCAGATTGGCAAAAGCAAAACAACCATAAACACACATAGATAAAAACCTAATCACCAAGTCTTTGACATGGTAGAGTCTAATGGTAATATTAGGAAAAGACACATGAATGTGTTATAAAACACATGCAACAAAGCTCATAGAAAATGGACAGAAATTAAGCTCCAAAGAAGAGGAGTATATATATATACTTCTACTATACATGTATAGTAGAAATACTAGGATGATTGACAAAACTGAGGTGTGTTTTGATCAAGAGAAAAGTTTAAAAAATGGAAGCTATTATTAAAAGGAAGTTTTAAGAACATCACTGGTTTTCAGTCCCACTGAAATCTCTTTAAATTTTAAATCTCTTTTGTTCTATTATCTAGCAGCATTGGGAAAATAATACATATATACTATCTCTTCAAAGAAGATAACAGGATACTACTTTTAAACAACAGAAAGTATCACTGAGATCGACTATAATTACTTTGGATAGGTTAACTAAGAGTAGATCATCTAAATAGAAAACCATTTATCCATTTATTTTATGTTTTCAGAATTCTTTCTACTTTAAACCTACTAGAGCTAAGTTGACTGGTCAAAAGCTTTTATTAATCGTGTCTGACATCCAGGTAAACCAAAGCATATGATCAGGCAATGGTTTTGAGTTATTACAGCCTCAATTATGTGTTAGCCAACTCAAGCGACCATTATGTAGTCAGTAATAGGTATGACACAGCTCTGGACATCAGCAACACTGTAAGCAGGCAGGCACAGGCAACCTGCTTATACCAATTTTTCTGGTGTTAACATTCTTAAGAAGTTTGGAAAACAGTAATTGTATGTCTTCCTCATTAAAACCTTACAGTAGCGCTCTACTAGATTTCTTTACCTCTGTTTTTTGTATTAATAACCGTGCAGAATAACACTGTCTTGAGAAATGACAGCACAGCATCTTACAGGGAAAGGAAATATAGGATGCCACTGTAGGGATAAATTTCTAATTACCAGTGATTATTGTGAATATAACACTATTTTCCTGAACATTAAAGTCTCCATGGAGAGTAGCTACAGTTCAAAAAAAAAATTGTTTTGAAACTTTAAAATTGCATTGGTGTACATGATAATGTAACAAAGTGCACAAAAGAAAAAATTTAAACATTGTTTTAAAAAAATACATTAGGGGAAGCCGCTGATCTTTAGGAAGGCACGAGGTTGAGTATTCTGAAGCATTTAGGGAGTCCGATTCATTTTCAAAGCTGGTTACAATCATTAGCATAGCACACCCTTGTGAGGGAAGTGTATTATCATCTGTGGTTCATAAATGAAAAAGCTAGAGCACTGAATGACTAAGTCACTCGCCCAAGGAGAATGAGTCAACGTCGAGTCATAGTTGACCCGGCCTAACGACTCCTGACGGTCAATCCAGGGCTTAGTCAGCGGGAGCCGGAGTGGCTTCCCTGGCTCGCACCCGGACTTGGGCTATTTCCGATCTCGTTAAAGCACAACAGTGGAAGCGAGAGGACCCACCTTGCAAATGATTTTTACTTCCACGCAAGCCTTAGCCTTGAGGTCTTAATCTCAGGAGTTGGAACAGGAAACGCTGTCGGGTGCACTCCCCCTCCCCCAACCTGTGGCAAGTGGGTACTGTGGGCGGCCCCGCCACCCCTTTTGGCAGTGATGGCCATGAGTGACCACCAGCGTTAGCGGAGCCGGGGGACCGGGGAGGGTTGCCTGCTTAAACAACGATTCTCCATCGCCGCCTCTTTTTGAAACTAAGAGAAAATGGTGTGCAATCAAAAGAAAATTAAATGAACACATAGGCAACTTGTTCTAGGACCTCAACTAAGCAAAAGAAGCCTTATTATTGTGCGTGCTGAGCCTACGGTTCCCAACCTTTCGGGAAAGATGGGAAGACAGGGCGACAAAGGGTACAGCAGGCATGCCTGGCAGTAAGTGCGACAGCAGCTATCCAGGCGGAAGAGCAGAGGACTGAAACCCACTCTCCAGCACGCGTGTGTCCGCCGCGCCGAGAACCGCGCACCGTACCCATCGACCACGTGACCAGTCCTTTTTTTTTTTTTTTTAAACTTCTTTGCCTAAAAGAAAAAAAAAACGAAAACTAGAGAGAGAAAGACAGGAGAGAGACTCCACTTCCCAGAAGTCTCTCGTTAAACACGCCGCCGCAGTCTTGCGCAGGCGCCGCCAGGGCCAAACGGACACGTCCGTCACGTGAACAGAAGCCGGCCAATGCGGTTTGAATCTCATTTTTTTCCTCTCACCCCCCCCCTTCAGGAGCGGTTGTGCGATCAGATCGATCTAAGATGGCGACTGTGGAACCGGTGAGTATTGCTTTTGGCCCCCACCCCCACTGGCCCGCACGCTCCGTCTCCCTTCGGACTCGGGGATCCCGCGGGACCGCGTTCCCGGTGCGCACGCTACCCCTTGCCGCCCCCTCCCCCTCTTCGTGGGCCTGACCTCCCCGCGGACAACTGGGGGCGCCCCGGAGATTGGCCGCGACGGCGTGTAGAGCCCACGTTCTGGTGGGGGCCCAAGAGCTCGCGGAGAGGTGTGGGGGAGGGGCGGCGCCTCAGGCAGAGCCGCGAGGGGGTTCGAGGGTGGAGGGTGACCTGGGCCCTGGGCTAGGTGTGTGGGAATTGTGTCTTCGGGTTAGGAGGGCGCTGGGCCGTCTCCGAGGTGGCGCCCGGATGCGCAGGGAGGGTGGGCGGCGAACCGGCCTGGAATGAGATGGAGGGAACCTCGGGGCAGCCTTTCCGTGTCTCCCTCCCTCGCTCTAGCCCAGGGGTCGGGTGCGGGGCGCGCGCCGGAACTCCTTAGACTGGTGGGCCAGGGAGCCGGTGGGCGCGCGTTGCCCTAGGGTTAGTTGGGCGGGAGTGGTGCCGCGGCGTGCGCGGAGAAGCTTCGACCTCGCCTAGGGGAGCCGAGAGCGGCCAGCGCATGTTACGCCGGCGTGTCCGAGAGTTGCCGGGGTGGGCTGCAGGGGAGGCGAGAAAGGTTTGGAGTGGGGAGGAGAACCCCGTGTCACGGGGTAAAGCTCTGCGAGTAGGATGAAGGGTGGTGGTGGTGGTTAGCAGGGGGATCACATTGTCCTCGCCCCTCCATGCTGGAGGCTGGGCTGTCATGGAGGAGGGAAGGGGGAGGAGCGAGGCCTACGGATAGCTGCTGCCGGTCTGGTTGCCGGCCGGACCTGCTGCATTTCACACGCGCCCGTCTCCCATTCATTCATCGTTTCCGCGCAGTGCTCACGCCTCAGAGAATGCGAGTGGGTGTAGATCCGTCTGCTCTTCCG